GTTCATTCATTCATTCATTCACTCATTCATTCATTCATTCATGTACCATTCCATATCCATAGCCTCCCCCACCTCCCTAAGGTAAAGAACTTATTGAATTCTTCCCCATCCAATAAGAATCTGGGAAGAATACTTCCTCTTTGGCTCTGCTTCTATTGGACGTGAGTTTCTTGGGTGGGTTATTTCTTCAGTGAGACAATATCATTCATTTTACATAGACCCTTAGTCTCCTTTGGGTGATGCTTCATCTTAGTCTGTGATTTTTCTCGTCTTGGTCTTTCCATGAAGAATCCACCCTAAATTGCTTGAGGCCTCTCACTACTCCTTCTGGAGAAGAGGAGTCCCAATTTCAGGGAGGCTCCACCCCACTGGGAGGTTTGAATGTTGAGCCAGAGCATGACTCTTAGCTAACTGCTTTAGCGAGAGCACCAGGACTTTGGACACTCACACTTTCACGGTGGGTTTCCAGGAAACTTTGTCAGTAGTTAGAACGACTGCTAGAGCCGGACGAACTTTTAGGACATTTTGCTGGGAGTTAGGGCTCGTTCAGGGACTGGATGGACTTTTGTGGAAGCTTTGCCAGAAATCAAAGCTCCTAGACTAATGGAGCTTTAGGAAACTTTGTCGAGCGAAAGAGTGCAGTTCCTCGACGAACCAGAAGGACATGAACCTTCAAGACATCCAGGACTAGACGGGATTGGATAACACCTAGCGGGGATGCGTGCTCAGTTTAGCTGGGAAAGGACCTGGCCCTAAATAGCTGCAATGAGGAGCAGGTAAGGTCTAAAGTGGAGCCCTGGGGACAGGGGCCGGGAATGGCGTAATCTTAGCCCTAGGGCCAGGGAACAGCTGGGAAGCTCAGACCTTGCTTTGCTCTGGCTGAGCTGGGGTGTGAGGGTGATAATCATTTAAGATCAATTGAGTCCCAATAAGGGCCAAAAAACTGAATTGATCTTTTCTCTCTGAGTGAACTGAGAATGCCCCTTCCTGTGTCAAGAGCTAAAGCTGACCAAGAGCATTCCTATGTTTATGACCACTAAGGCACCTTTAACCCAGACACTACCTTGATGGTGGTAAAGGAAACTCAGATATCCTGGATCTGACATTTGCTTATCTTATTTAAATGTCCTTTCTCATGCTCTGGTTAAACATATGGAGACCATAAAACTGAGTAACACAGACATCCTGAGTCAGGGTTTACATGTCCTCCTAAAATTGCTTGCTTCAGACAGAGTTAAAGTTCTGCCTCCATGTAACATGTTACATGCTGCTAACTTAAGGGAATAAAACAATATGAATTTACTTATCACCTAGCTTGTTGTCTCTTTAACCAACTTTCAGGTCGACAAGGGAAACCCTAAATAAGCACAACGTCTGGCTCCTAGCAATGCTTATAGGTTGAATGAAGGGGACATGCTTCTCTCAGTTCTATCTGCTCTGCCCTTGATGTTTAGGAACAAATTTCTGAGTTGTGTGTGTGTCTGGGGTGGGGGTTGGGGGCAGGGTTCGGGATGGTGGAGGGCGCAATGAGTGTGAGTGTGCCATGAAGGCTTCGTGGAAGAGGATGTCCCTTAGCTTTTGAAGAATGGGTAGGATTTCTGTAGGCATGAAGGAGGAGGGTTTTCCAATCATAGGGCATTTTTAAGGAGAAGGCAGGGAATTGTTGGGGCCTCCTTGAGAGTAAGGATTGTCTTTTGCCTTTCTTTTGTCCCTAGAACTTAGCATAGTGCTTGGCACAAAGATGGTGCTTAATATGTGTTTGTTGACTGAATTCAGTTCGTGAAGGGATATTATAGTAAGGTTGTACATTGGAAGCACATGGGAATGGTCTGTCATTACTTAGCTGTGGAGTACCAAGAATGACTTTTGAGAAGAGAAATAATGGGATTCGGCGTGTGCTTGGAAGGGGTTGCAGAGACTTCTATCCATTCTAAAGTAAAACTCCTTTACCATATTCCTGAAAAGAGATCATTCAGCTTCTTCTTAAAGATCTCTATTGGCAGAGAACTCACTGCTGTCTCCTAAATTAGCCCATTCCATTTTTGAATAAATCTAATTGTACACCAGATTCAGTTTTCTGTAGCTTCGACCCATTTGCCTTAGTTTTGACTTTGTGTGGCTAAGTAGAGCAAATGAATCTGCTATGTGACAGCCCTTAAGATAGTTGATTATAATGATCATAGAGTCTGTGAATTTTCTCTAGACAAATATCTCCAGTTCCTTTATTAATCCTCATATGGCATTGATTTGAACCCCATTACCTTTTTGACTGATAAGCTAATACATGCACATCCAGAAAGGCAACGCATTCTTAACATGTGTCAGGCAGTCTGATTTGACCAATGTTTAGCTCATAGTAGTCAACTGATAAATCCTTGTTGATTAACTATAGTCGGTCTATTGCTTTCCTTGTTCTGGAACCTAATGTAGCTCTCCCAAACCTCCAGGTTTTCTCCCTTCCTGTCATCAGGAGTTAAGTCAACAAGCATTTATTAAGCACTTCCTGTGTGCTAGGTGCTGTGCTAAGTACTTAAATTATAGGAATATTCTTCTGAAATAGTGTTTCCCCAGAGCTTCTGCTTGTGGTAATGGAGATCTGACTTGCTCTGATATGTGGGTAGTATTCTCAAACATCAGGTTTTGCCTTGCTGCCTTCTGATCCAATTTTACTAGTAATGTTAAAACGTGGGTGGTTCTCTTTATTGCCTTCTCTTCTTCTGAAAAGTGAAATTCTCAATGCATGTCAAGAATTTCAGATGTTTGGTTTGACAAACATCAAGGGTGGCAACCCAAATTTTGCATAATGCACAGTAGTTGCAATGACCCTTTTTGATCATTAATGTCAGGAAGATGTGTGCTTACTACAAGTGTTCAACATTGTCCTGGAGGAGATCCAATTGCAGACAGATTTCACATCAAAGGAGGATTTCCTAGAGATGATGAGATCCAGATGCTCTTATTTGCTGATGATGTTGTGCTGGTTGCATTAAGCTTCTGAACATTGCAGACGTTCATTCTGATTGAGATCCATCATAACCCCCCCAAAAAAAAAAAGAAACTTGGCCTAATCATGAACACAGGAAAAATCAAATGGATGAAGAATGCTTATTGCCCAGAATATGATAATTGGACAAACTGTAGAACTGTTTATCAGTTTACAGCTCTTGAACAAAAATGGGGAACAGACACTGAGTTGCCTAGAAATGAATAGTATAAGAGTGGACTAGAATGTCTTTGAACAATTTCAAAGTTCTTTGAATGATCCAAAATTCTCCCTGAAACCAAGGCTTATCTTTTTAATATTTACCAATCTTCTCCCAGAGTTTTTATTGGCTATGGGTCATGGTATACTAGTCTCTGAAGAATTGAAAATTATTATCATTACTGTATAAGGACAATGGAGAGATCTGTGGTACATATGAGTAGGCTACATCACACCAGAAACAGGAAATTATAGGCCTTAAGATGGACCTTTTGTTCTTGACCTTAGCCACCCAAAAAAGGCAAATCTGGAAATATTCCTTAATATTTTAGAGAAACTGAAAAGGAGGTTTGTAATATGCTTCCAGAGTTCTTTCTCTGTATCATGTTCTTCTTTACTTTCAGTTTTATTAATCTCTCCTTTGATTTTCAGGATTTCCACTTTGGTGTTTAATTGGAGATTTTTAAATTTTCCAGGATTTTTTTCTGGTTTTTTTTTTAGTTGCATATCCAATTCATTGATCTGTTCTTTCTCTATTTTATTGATGTAAGCATTTAGAGATATACATTTACCCCTGAGTACTGCTTTCGCTGCATCCTATAAATTTTGGCATGTTGTGTCACTGCTACCATTTTCTTTAATGAAACGATTGATTGTTTCTATGATTTGTTCTTTGACCCACTTATTTTTTAGGATTAGATTATTTAGTTTCCAATTAATTTTTAATCTCTCTTTCCATTCCCTATTATTGAATGTAATTTTTATTGCATTATGATCTGAGAAGGATACATTTACTAGAATGTGTTCTTCCAACCTCTGCCACTGGTCTTTTTTTTTGTCATATTCTCATCTCAGTCCTCTCTGTCTTCTGTTGCCCTACAAGTAATCTGGCAGCAGTGTGTAAGATAGATTGGGGGTAGGGAGATTTGTTAAGAAGCTGTTATAATAATCCAAGTAAGAGGGCCTTAACTGTCAGAATGAAAAGGAAAGGACAGACATAGGAAATATTTTAGAGTTCAAATTAACAGGGTATGGTGGTTTGTTGGTTGGATGTAGGGAGCAAGGAAAGGAGTGGAAATTCACATTTATATAGGGACCCAAAATTTTAGTGCAGTTTTAAGCTTTTGTCAGTTTAAAACTGTACTAAGACTTTTGGGACATCCTATATATTGTATATGGTATGCAAAACCACATGATCTTTCTCTCTTAGGTGACTGAGAGTGGGGAAGTCAGGAGGAAGAGCCAGATTTTAGAGTAAGATGATGTTAGGTTTTAGGTGCATTGATTTTTGAAATGCTTCTGGGATATGCCACATGTGAGAAATGCCAAATTTAGGTACTCATTATCTCTCACCTGGTAACTATGTCCTGAGAATTCTGTAGATGGAATTAATCCTTCAGATAGAAGGGAGTTCCTTCTGTTGTAGTCTGAGAGGTTGAGACCCCTCAAGGACCAGAGTATAGGATATGGGGACATCTGGAATGAATTCACAGACTAAAGCATTCTTTGAGTCAAGGTGGCAAAGATTTATTGTTACCCTATACAGTGGGCAGGGGTCCTTAAGGAATTCTGCCATGGTGGGCAGAGCTCCTTAGGGAACTTACAACCTAACAAGAATGATGCTAAAATATAGGAAAAGCAGTGAATTTTGGATAAAGGGGAGTTTGTAGTAAGGGCATTTCCTTTTCCTCTTTTATCAAATCATTATTATTGTGGGAACATCTTAGAGGCTAAATTGTAGATGGAGAAATAAATTACCCCTCTAATCAGAATGACTTGATTCACCTGAGTTGATGTGATGCTTTTTATTTCATTTTTTTGTTCCTGTAAACACTGGTTGATCTGGCAAGTCCATTTTTTTTCTTTCTTTCTTTTTTTTTTTTTGCTGCTTAGTGAAGTCTTGGTGGAGGACTCAACAGCCTGTTTCTATAAAGCTTTGGGCCAACTTCAAGAAATCTGGGACTCGATCGGGATTCCAGAGGATCACAGGCTTCAACGTGTCCAAGTGAGTGGAGCTGTGATCTCCTTTTTGGCCTCAGGGCTTTGTCTTCACATATGGTGACAGTGGATGTACACTGCCAATCTGATTTTTGTGAAGGTGTTAGCATCGACATCATAGGCTTTGTCTGTTGTAAAGATCCTCTATTCTTGAAATACTATGAAGTTTTTTTTTCTTTCTTTTTTTTTTCCAAACCCCTAACCATTCTTTAGTATTCTATGGACTGATTCTCTTTTGCTATAGTGCCTCCTGGACATGATGATTGCAGAGGAAAAAAGCCTGAAGGAAAGGCTCCTGAAAAGAATTGATTCTTATCAAAAAGAGCAGGACACTCTGATCAAAGAGTTAAAACTGGAACCATTTCTGGTAAGTCTTTTTTTGGGGGGCAAGGTAGTGGGGGTTAAGTGACTTGCCCAGGGTCACACAGCTAGTAAGTGTCAAGTGTCTAAGGCCAGATTTGAAATCAGGTCCTCCTGACTCCAGGGCTGGTGCTCTATCCACTGTACTACCTAGCTACCTCATAAGTCTTATACTAAATACAGCCTCTAAGGATTTAGTTATCAAAGATTGATGCTAAGGATCAAGACCAAGCCATCCCTAAATCTAAAACTGTAGCTCTGCCTGACTTTCTGAACTTCAGATCCACTTTTCCATCTGCTTGCTTGACATAGCCATTTTAGATATCCAGCCGTTACCTCAAATTCAGTATGTGCAAAACTGACCTCTTCCCTCCTAACCTTATTCCTCTTCATATCTTTTAACAGTACCACCATCCTCTCTCTCTTACTCAATTTCAAAACCTTGGCTGCCTTTGTTTATTCTCTTGCTCTTCACATCTAATCATGTGACAAAGCAGTCTTCGATCTCTTCCATCCTTTTCCTTTCCTTCCTATCTCCATCATGCCGATTCAGGGTCTGGACTTATTGCAATTCTCTCAGTTTCCAACATTCCAACAGTGGATAGAGCACCGGTCCTGGAGTCAGGAGGCCCCGAGTTCAAATGCGGCCTGTGGCTACTGCTCCTGAGGTCCCTTTGCCTTCTCATGCTAGGCTAGGTGCTGTAGGCCAATCTACTCCTCCTAGCTAATCTATGAGGTTAAGAACTACTACACAGTGAGAGGGGCGCCTTACTGGAAGGCAGATGGAGGAGGAGGAGAAGAGAAGGAGGGAGGGGAGAGAGAGACAGAGAGAACTTTTTTTTTTTGCTAGACAATGGGGTTAAGTGACTTGCCCAGGGTCACACAGTTAGTAAGTGTTATGTGTCTGAGGCCGGATTTGAACTCAGGTCCTCCTGACTCCAGGACCAATGCTCTATCCACTGCGCCACTTAGCTGCCCTGAGAACTTTTTTAAACTACTGCAACTCTCCCACCTGTCCTCATGAGTTGACAGCAGTGCAACTGGCGTCTTCAGGGTGTTCTTTCGAGTGCTTCTCCCAATGGCTTGCACCAAAGACTCACAAAGTCCACAAGAAACAATTCCCATTGGTCACTTGAATTTGTTGTGGTTGTTGTCCTTCAGTTGTGTCCAATTCTTCATGACCCCATGGATCATTGTCCATGGGGTTTTCTTGGGGAAGATACTGGAGTGGTTTGCTATTTCTTTCTCCAGTGGATTAAAGCAAACAGAGATTAAGTGACTTGCCCAGGGCCACATCTAATAAATGTCTGAGACTGGATTTGAGCACAGGTCTTTCTGACTCCAGGCCCAATGCTCTATCCACTGAGCCATCTAGCTGCCTGCCCCATTATCTTTCCATGTCTCACTTTTATCCTGGACTTGTAAAGGTAACTTTTTAAAATCTAAGTGAGAAACATAATTATTGTTTTCAATATCATCCTATATTTGCTAAGTTCCTTTTGAATTCTGATTTTATCACCGAGCGTATTTGCTTTCCTTTCCTACATGACAACTGCAATTTTGACAATCATGTCTCCTGTATTTTCCTCAAGATTATTAATAAAAATTTTGCGCAGTACAAGGTTGTGTTCCCTCTGGGTTCTTTAGGGTAGAGTAGAATAGGTCCTGAGAATCTTTCCCTTGCTCCAGGCAATACTCTGTAGGTATCCCAGTTGGATCTCCCCTTCCCCTAGGCATTCTGCCAATACTCCTTCCCCTTTTCTCCTCCTTTCTGATCAGTTCCCCTCCTTCCTCAGTCATCACACCAACCCAGTCCCGACCTTTGGGCCTACTCTTCACAATGATTGTGAACCTGAGTGCTTTTATCCCCATCCCCACCCCAACTGTGGGGCAGATTTCACACCACTTCACTGAACAAGAAATAATGAATTCCAATCCTTCTAGTTAGATGGCCATGCCTAGGCCTTACTATCTGTTTTGTCTCTATACTCTCTAGACACCCAGGCATTTTTAAAAAATTTATTTTATTTTTCCCCCAATTACATGTTAAAACAATTTTTAACATTTTTCCCTTTTTTATTTATTTTGATTTATCAACAATCACTTTCATAAGCTTTTGAGTTTTAGATTTTTCTCCCCCTCCCTCCCCAATGCGGGGCACAATATGATATAGACTATGCATATACATTCCTATTAAACATATTTTCACATTAGTGATGTTGTAAGAATTAGAACCAATAGGAAAAACCACCAGAAAAAAGAAACAAAACACAACAGAAGAAAAAAAATAGCAAATGGTATGCTTCAATCTGTAATCAAACTCCAGAGTTCTTTCTTGAATTGTGGATAGCATTTTCCATCATGAGGCATTTGGACATGTCTTAGATCCTTGTATTGCTGAGAAGGGTTAAGTCTATCAATATTAGTCATTGCACAATGTGGCTGTTACTGTGTACAATGTTCTCCTGGTTCTGCTCACTTCACTCAGCATTTAACCATACAAGTGTTTCCAGGTTGATCTGAAGTCTGCCTGCCTGTGCATCCTTTCTTATAGCACAATAGTATTCCATTACATTCATATACCACAACTTGTTCAGCCATTCCCCAATGGATGGGAATCCTCTCAATTTCCAATACTTTGCCACCACAAAAAGAGCTTCTATAAATATTTTTGTACTTGTGGATCCTTTTCCCATTTGTATGATCTCTTTGGAATAGAGCCCTAGAAGTGCTGTTGCTGGGTCAAAGGGTATGCACATTTTTATAACCCTTTGGACATAGTTCCAAATTGCTCTCCAAAATGGTTGGATCCTTTCACAATTCCATCAACAATGCATTAGTGTTCCAATTTTCCCACATCTTCTCCAACATTTATCATTTTCTTGTTTTGTCATGTTGGCCAATGTGATTGGTGTGATGTGGTACCTCAGAGTTGTTTTGATTTGCATTTCTCTAATCAATAGTGATTTGGAGCATTTTTTCACATGACTATAGATGGCTTTAATTTCTTCATCGGAGAACTGCCTGTTCATATCCTTTGACCATTTATCAATTGGGGAATGACTTGTATTCTTATCAGTTTGACTTAATTCTCTATATATTTTAGAAATGAGGCCCTTATCAGAGAGACTGGTTATAAAAATTCTTTCCCAGTTTTCTACTTTCCTTCTAATCTTGGTTGCATTGGCTTTGTTTGTGCAAAAACTTTTCAATTTAATGTAATTGAAGTTATCTATTTTGCATTTCATAATGTTCTCTATCTCCTGTTTGGTCATGAATTCTTCTGTTCTCCATAAGTCTGACAGGTAAATTATTCCTTGCTCTCCCAGTTTGCTAGGAGTATCAGCCTTTATATGTAAATCATGAACCCATTTTGACTTTACTTTGGTATATGGTGTGAGACTTTGATCAATGTCTAGTTTCTGCCATACTCTTTTCCAGTTTTCCCAGCAGTTTTTTTCAAAGAGTGGGTTCTTATCCCAGAAGCTGGGGTCTTTGGGTTTATCAAATAATAAAATACTATAGTCATTGACTACTATGTCTTGCATACTTAACCTATTCCATTGATCCACCACTCTATTTCTTAGCCTGTACCGAGCAGTTTTGATGATTGCTGCTTTATAATACAATTTAAGATCTGGAATGGCTAGGCCACCTTCCCCTGCATTTCTTTTCATTGGTTCCCTTGATATTCTGGACCTTTTGCTCTTCCAAACGAATCCTGTTACTATTTTTTCTAACTCTATAAAATAATTTTTTGGAAGTTTGATTGGTATGGCACTGAATAAGTAAATTAGCTTAGGTAGAATTGTCATTTTTATCATATTAGCTCGGCCTACTCATGAGCAACTGATGTTTTTCTAATTATTTAGATCTGACTTTATTTGTGTGAAAAGCGTTTTGTAATTGTGTTCATAGAGTTCCTGGGTTTGTTTTGGGAGGTAGACTCCTAAATATTTTATAATGTCCACAGTAACTTTAAATGGAATTTCTCTTTCTATCTCTGGGCTTTGTTGGTAATATATAGAAATGCTGATGATTTATGTGGGTTTATTTTGTAGCCTGCAACTTTGCTAAAGTTGTTTATTATTTCAAGTAGTTTTACTTGATTCTCTGGTATTCTCTAAATATATCATCATATCATCTGCAAAGAGTGATAGCTTTGTTTCTTCTTTGCCTATTCTAATACCTTCAATTCTTTTTCTTTTCTTATTGCTAAAGCTTACGTTTCCAGTATGACATTGAACAACAGTGATGATAATGGATCACCTCTGATCTTATCAGAAATGCTTCTAGCTTGTCCCCATTACATATAATGCTTGCTGAAGGTTTTAGGTAGATGCTATTTTTTATTTTAAGGAAGATTCCATTTATTCCTATGCTCTCTAGTGTTTTTAATAGGAATGGGTATTGTATTTTGTCAAAAAGCTTTCTCTGCATCTATTGAGATGATCATGTGGTTTCTGTTAGTTTTGGTGTTGATATGATCAAATATGCTGATAGTTTTCCTAATATTGAACCAGCCCTGCATTGCTGGTATAAATCCTACCTGGTCATGGTGTGTTACTCTTGTGATAAGTTGCTGTAACCTATTTGCTAATATTTCATTTAACATTTTTGCATCTATATTCATTAGGGAAATTGGTCTATGATTTTCTTTCTGTTTTGGCTCTTCCCGGTTTAGGTATCAGCACCATATTTGTATCATAAAAAGAATTTGGTAAGACTCTTTCTTCACCTATTTTCCTAAATAGTCTCTATAATATTGGAATTAATTGTTCCTTAAATGTTTGATAGAATTCGCTTGTAAATCCATCTGGCCCTGGCGATTTTTTCCTAGGGAGTTCATCAATGGCTTGCTCAATTTCTTTTTCTGAGATGGGGTTATTGAAGTATTTTATTTCCTCTTCTGTTAATTTGGGCAATTTATATTTTTGTAAATATGTATCCATTTCACTAAGATTGTCAAATTTATTGGCATACAGTTGGGCAAAATAGTTCTTCATTATTGTTTTAATTTCCTCTTCCTTGACGGTGGATTCACCCTTTTCATTTTTGATACTGGTAATTTGGTTTTCTTCTTTCTTTTTTTACTTAAATTAACCAAAGTTTTATCTATTTTATTGTTTTTTTTTCATAAAACCAGTTCTTAGTTTTATTTATTAGTTCAATAGTTTTCTTAATTTTAATTTTATTAATTTCTCCTTTGGTTTTTAGTATTTCTAATTTGGTTTTTAATTGAGGATTTTTAATTTGTTCTTTTTCTAGTTTTTTTTAGTTGCATGACCAATTCATTGATCTCCTCTTTCTCTATTTTATTCATATAAGCATTTAGAGATATAAAACTTCCCCTAAGAACTGTTTTCGATGCATCCCATACACTTTGGTATGTTGTCTCATTATTGTCCTTCTCTTGAATGAAATTATTCATTGTTTCTATCATTTGTTGTTTGACCCAGTCATATTTTAGGATTAGATTATTTAGTTTCCAATTATTTTTTAGTCTGTCTTTCCATGGCCCTTTACTACATATAATTTTCATTGCATCATGATCTGAAAAGTATGCATTTAATATTTCTGCCTTTCTGCATTGGATTGTGAAGTTTTTATGCCCTAGTACATGGTCAACTTTTGTGTATGTGCCATATACCACCGAGAAAAAAGTATATTCCTTTCTATCCCTATTCAGTTTTCTCCAGAGGTCTATCATACCTAACTTTTCTAATATTCTATTCACCTCCTTAACTTTGCACAGGATGGCCTGGGGTTATGTGGAAGTTTTCCCAGGGGATAGTTGTGTCTTCTTTTTCTATTTACGTTGACTCAAGGTAGTTAACATTTTTCTGTGGAATCATAGGTCGTGTTCCCCCTCTGGTTACTATCATATACCACCCTGTCTATATTACAAAGGATATTTTCACCGTGCATTATAAAACTGCTCAGCCAGCCTTATGAGATTTAATGCATTGTTAAAAGTGTAAAATGATATTCGATTCTTTTATGTTATTTTTATTTTGTTTTTTCCTCATGACATTATCAGGGCCAACATCCACGCTGAGCCTGATGGCGTATTTGAAGCATGCTCAATCAGCCACTGGCTCTGTTGTTATACAAGAGAGTTAAATAACATTGTGTTACCCCTATGCAACTAAGTGAATGTTAGAAACAGGAATTTTTATTATGAAGAGAAAAATGTTCAGTGCATTTCTTTCTTTCCATTGACTTCTGTTTTTAAGTTATGTTCCATTTTTTACATCCCAATATTAATGATGATATCCAAATTGAAAGTCTTTATTTCACTCTCAGACTGTATCAACATATATAAAATGGAGAGAGTGTCAGGCCAGTTATTGAGGTCATTCAGATTCAAATATTATTATCTAGCTGGTTCAGATTCAAATGGAGTTCTCTATTGCCATGGTGTAGTCACAATTCTTAGATAATACAGATTAATTGAAGGAAGATTCATTGAAGGCCACTCAAAGGCCAAATTTAACAAACAAACCAATGCAGTTTCTCCAGCACATTTAAATATTAACAGTCTTAGAATTCCAGGTCTGTGTCTTGATTTGCATTTTCTCTTTTTTGGAGACCCTCATGCTACCCCTTAGTTTGCTGACTTTGTCCTTATGTACTTAAAGGACTGGATACCGCTTATTCTGCTATTCAATCTTTTCCCAAAAGCCATGCTTTTCCAATTCTTCCCCTATTCATACACAGATATGACTCCCTTAAAGTTGGAAGGGGCATTCTTTCAGTAGGTCTTTGATGAGGCAACTGGTGAGCCTTGGGAATACAAAATATTCAATCTCAGTAAAGGTAGAGCATAACTCATTCTTCTGATTTTGTTCTTGTTTCTAAGTAGAGGGGAGAGCTCTTTCAATTCCCTCAAATTTAATCCCTCTAGGCTTCTTCAAAGATAAACTGAGTTCTGAGGAGATCCCCTTGTAGAACTAAGGGCTTAAATTACCTACTTGAAAGGCCTAGGTTGGTTGGTTGTTGTCCTTCATGTTAGAAGAGGACCAAAATGATACCACTACGTTGGGGTCAAGGTAGAGTGTGTCCACCTGTGACTGATCAGCCCAATACATGCTCAGAAGGCTCTATCACAGGTTGGGTACAAATAGTCCATATTAACATTTGAAGTGGAGATAGCTCTAAATTTGCACATCTCATGTACCTTTTGAGATACTGCCAATCTGCTTTGCTCATAGAGCACAGGGGCAACACAGCTGGAGGGCCTAAGAAATAGTTTAAGGCACTTATCTTCAGGGTATCTATTAGAGGTTTGGAGTATACTCACATTGGTTTTTCCTTGCCGAATAGCCACAGGCAGTTTATTCTCTGATATCCCAGAAGAGGAAGGTACCTTACAGTAAGCAACTACAGTCTCTAGAAGGACCTAGAGATGCAGCTAATTTGTGCAATGGATAAAGCACTAGACCTGGAGTCAGGAAGATGTGAATTCAAATCCTGCCCCAAATCCTAGCTGTGTTACCCTGGGCAAGTGACTTAATCTCTGCCTCAGTTTCCTCATTTGTAAAATGGGGATGACAATAATAGCACATATGTGCCAGGGTTGTTGTGAGGGTTAAACGATACATTTGTAAAGTATTTTGCAAACCTTGAAATATATAAATGTTAGTTATTATTATTATTGTCACCAAAAGCATCACCAAAAATCTTGCCAGTGTGAGTTCATCTCCCTCTGCATTTACTGCTCATCCCCTTATTTCAATAAGCTCCTTATGTTCCAATCCTGAATGACTACGCCATTTATTCTTGGCTTAGCCTGCCTAAGGCCAGACCCCTTATCATTTTAGATTCAATATTAGAACAAAATGAAACACTTGTACATCATTTTACAGGTAGCCAAAGAAAATTTACTTAGCATAGCAGGAGAAGGATGTTTTACAAGGCAAGGCATTGAGGTCATCTCAGGTTTGATTCAGCTAGGAGAAACTTGCTCAGATAGCTTCTGGAACTCATCCTGGATACTCTGTACTTAGGTAACTGGGAAGTGATGACCCTTTAGTCCCCTAAGCCAAGCAATTATCACAAATGGTTACAGTACTTTCTGAGGAAAAAACTAGGCTAATGTGTGGAAGCACAGTTTAACTTACTGTTCCTATCACAGCTACCTTCTACAGCAGACTTTTCCTGGCTCCCCCTTCCTGATTCCACCCCACCGCCCCCCACCCAGCTGTTCAAGCCTTCCCCTGTAAGATTATTTTCAACGTACTTGGTATTTCTTTTGCTCTATCTATTTATATACATGTTGTCTCTCCCATTTGAATGTAAGCTTCTTGAGAGTAGAATCTGTTTTTGCCTTTTCTTTGTATCCTCAGCACGATGTCTGGCACATAGTAAGTTTTTATGGTATGATTTTTGATTTATTGATTGCTTTATACTTCTGATATCACAGGTAGGGATGTGCCAATCAACTGGAATCTTCCAGACATAGATACAAACTGGAGAGTGGGTGGCACTGTTTTTAAAAAAAGGAGGAAAGTAGAAAGAGAGGAATAACAAGGCAGAAGAAAGGGATGTGACAAAGCTATAAATAGCTTGGTGGATGAATCAAGACTAAGCCAGCACAAGCAGAGGTTTTAAATTGCTCTCATACCTGAAGGAGAACACATATAAGCTAAATGACTCATCCGAGAACTAACCAAAACCAAGCTTCTTTCTAATTTCATTAAAAACAGTCTATGATGCTCTAATATATCCCCATTTTTTATTTCTTCTCTGGGAATCTCTCTGAAACTCTCTAAAAAACTCAGGAAAATAACCCCTGTTGCTATGGGATAACTCATAAATGAGTCAAATTGAGAAGTTCCCCTCACTTGTCCTTCCTTTACTTCTGGTAAGGTTGTCTTTAGTGTTTTTACTCTGAGTCATCGTTATTTGGCACAGGAAAGAGAGGAGACTACCATGTTGGAGCTAGAGCAGGATCTTCAAACACAGATAGAAGAGTTGAAAAGACAGAAAGAAGAAAGGCTACAAGAACAGAAACTACTTCAAGAACAAGACCAAAAATTGTGTGAGATTCTTTGTGTGCTCCCATACGGCCTTGACAATGACTCTGTACTCAGCATAGAGGAGTTGAACCAGTTCAGAAATTACCTGGCAGCTCTGGAGGAAACAAAGGTATAATTGCTTCTTGACACTCTTCCTGTCTTTCACTCACTTCTGGGGTGCCGTATAACTTCTTTGCTTCTACAGGCAAGCCGATGGGAAGATTTTGTCAGCACAAAGAAGCAGATCCTGCTCTGTATGGAAGACCTAGGTCACACCCCAGAAACGGATTTTGAGAGAGATGTGGTATATAAGAATGAAGAGACCTTTTGTCTGTCATTGGAGAACCTAACAGCCCTAAAGAATCTGCTTTTACAGGTATGCTGCTGCAAATTCAAGATAGTAACTTGAGTACAGAACTTTGGAAAGGAGCTGTGGGTAGAACCTCAACAATGTTTGCTTTATTTCTAGATGGGAGTTTATGGCCCACTAGTTTCATGTTAACTTTAGAAACCTACATTTTTTTTTCTTTTGGTGCCTTATAGAAAAGTGGCAAGCTTGTAACCAAGATAGTAACAATAATGATTTCCATTGCTAGAGTTCTTAAGGTTTGCAAACTGGTTTGCTCACAAAAGCTCTGTGAAAACCCAGCGATTGGCAGAGGTGACAAAATATGGGAATAGTCACTGTTGGAGAAGCACAATAAAGCTGGTCTAACCATTTTGAAAAACAATTTTGGGGGCAGCTAGGTGGCACAGTGGATACAGCACCGGCCCTAAAGTCAGGAGGACCTGAGTTCAGATCCAGACTCAGACCAAACACTTAACACTTACTAGCTGTGTGACCCTGGGCAAGTCACTTAACCCCAATTGCCTTAAGCAAAAAAGAAAGAAAAACAATTTTGGGGAAAAGAAGTGACTAAAATGCTCATACCCTTTAATCCAGAGATCCTGCTGCTATGCATATACTCCAAGGAAGTCAATGATTTTTTTAAAAAGTCTCCATATCTACCAATTTATACAGAGTAGAACTTTTTTTCATTTTAAATTTAAAAATTTTTTTATTTTTAACATTAAAAAAAAGTTTTGAGTTCCAAATTCTCTCCCTCCCCCACCCACTGAGAAAGCAAGTAATATGATATCAATTATATATGTAAAGTCATGTGAAACATTTTCACATTAGCCATGTTGGCAGAACTTTCTGTGGTAGAAAAGAAGTAGAAATAAAATAGCCATTATTTGGGGAATGTCTAAACAAATTGTGGTACAAAAACATAATGGAATGTTACTACATTGTAAGATATGATGAATATGAAGAATTTAATAAAAACAATTGAAAGGATCGTGGGAAGACTTAAATGAACTGTTGGTGCAGAGTGAAATAAGCAGAACTTGGAAAATCATACAGAATGACTACAATCATGTAAGTAGGAAGGACAAAAACAATACTGAATGCTATGTAAGTATTGTATGAAACTCGTTCTCAAAGAGATGAGAAAATGTACTTCCCTACCTTTGCAGAGGTGTGAGACTATGGATATGGAGCATTACATATCCTGCCAGACTGTTGATGGGATCATAGCATCATAGGTCTAGAGGTAAAAGGCCATCTAGTTCAAGCCCTTTATTTTACAGATGAGACACTGGGGAAGGCCCATACCTAAAGTCACATAGGCAGTAAGTAGCAGGGTTAGGATTTCAGTCCTCTCACTTTAAATTCAACATGTTTACTACCATACCTTTTTTCATTAATTTTATAGAGATGCTTTTTTTCCCTTTTCATTTTGATTTTGTTGTTATAGGAAATGGTTCTCTGGGTAGAGGATAAAAGAGGGATATTCAATCGAAGACCCCAACTATTGGGATAAGGTCTCACTATTTGAGAAAAACTACTGGGAAAAATAGAAAACAGTCTAGCAGAAAACAGGTTTAGACCAAGATCTCACACCGTGTCCTTCAACAAGCTCCAAGTGGATAGACCTAGATATACAAGGTCCCATCATAAACCAATTAGAGGAGAAATGAAGAAAACACCTTTCACAACTCTACGTGAAAAGTTCAAGACCAGACAAGAGATAGAGAGGAGCATAGAAGGTCCACAGAAATGGACAATTTTGATTCCATAAAATTGTAACAAAATGCAGTTAAAATTAGAAAGATGACAAATAGTCTATATAGCCACATGAAAAAATGCTTCAAATAACTAATTATTGTGTCGTTGCTGTTGTTTAGTCATTTCCGTCACGTCCAACTCTTCATGACTCTGTTTTGGGTTTTCTTGGCAAAAACACTAGAAGGGTTTGCCATTCCTTCTCCAGCTCATTTTTATAGATGAGGAACTGAGACAAACTGGCTTAAGTGACTTGCCTGGGGTCACACAACTAGTAAGTGTCTGAGGTCGGATTTGAATTCAGGAAGATGAATCTTCCTGATTCTCAACCCAGTGTTCTATCCATGTGTCACCTAGCTGTCCTGTACTAATAATTAGGGGAATGCAAATTAAAGCAACTCTGAGGTTCTACTTCATACCCATCAGATTGGTAAGTTGACAAAAAAAGGAAAATGACAGATATTGGAGAAGTTCAATAAGGAGCATGGCCATCTTGTACTATCATGTTAAATTTGATATATATTTGAAGAAATAAGCTATATGTAATAGAGATACACAATTTCCTACACAATCCTTTTTTTCTGTTCCTTATATAATGGAAATATCCATGTTTGTTGATGTTTGTCACGATCATGATAAAAAAAGAAACTTTTTTTTTTCAAATACATTCTGGAATGTTTCCCAGGCATCAAAGTCAAGTTTACTAACATACTTTTTTGGAGGGTAAACTGGGAAATCTGCTGATTTTCAATTTTGTAGTATCTCTTGGGTTCAGTGATTTTCCGAGATCACTAATGATGGTTTAACTGTCATATTCACCAGTTATTTCAGATTGTGGGATGTTTGTTTGAGCCACTTTTCTCAATATGATTTATCCTTATGTGAACTGCTAGAAGAAGGCAGTGATACTAATAATAGTTTATATTTATACAGTTCCTTAACATTTACAGAGCATTTTACAAATCTCTTGAGGAAACTAAGGCAGAGGTTAAGTGACTTCTCCAGTCACACAGCTAGCAAGTGTCCAAGGTAGAATTTGAACCTGAATCTTTCTGATTCTAATGCTTTAGCCATTACCACAATGTTTCTATATATTCAATCTACCTCTGAATTATTCGTGGTTGGTATACCCCTCAGCAGGAAGTCCAATTTCTTCTTCCTCTGATTAGAACTCTTCTCTTGGCAACACAGCAGTTACATCATCCGTCCTTTAGAGCAGAACACAAGGAACTGTTTGCTCCTGAGAGGGTCCAGATCCTTGCTCTGTGGAAAGAGCATTGTATGTATTGCAGAGCTCAAAATGATAAAGTCTTCCTTCTTTCCCCTGCCATGTCACTTTTTTCCATCCTTGAACCTCCCCACACAGGATAGGATTTCCTTATGCCTCTTGCTGTTTTTATTCTCCTTTGAAGCACTTCTTTTCATTCTTTCCAGGAACATTTCATTTGCCCTGACACCTTGCAATATAAGTTCCTTGAGAATCTGGATTGTTTCATTCTTTTTTTTTTTAAATTATTCCTCACATCTAGTAAGTTCTCAATAAATGCTTGCTGAGTAATTGGAGAGACGTATGCCATTAGCCCTTTTACCGTATCCTCTGGTAGGGGGACCAACTTGCATTTTGTGCATATATACATGGCACTGGCAGATAAACATCATGTTATTTTCTCCAGATTATTACAAAATTCCCCATGTTCTTCAAACTTGTGGGAAGTTTTTGTTCTTGTCACTAACTCGTGGTGAATAGTTGTTTGCTCCTACCCATTCACCACCTCTGGGGTCCTGATAGAACTTTATTTATAGTAAGCTTCCAGTCTTTTTCACCAGCTTGCTCAGCTGCCTTGGATCCTAGTTAATATTTCTGTCAAAGCCCTAATACAAACAGAAGCAATACTGGGCTATTGTCTGAAAGGCCTTAAATAGGAACCCAACTCCTAGCCAATTTTCACTTCCTAGCTACTTCCAAACCATGTTGCCTCAACCCCTTGCCACTGGAATGTGGTTTCTGTCCCTAGGATTCTGGACCCTGGTAGGTCAACCTTTTTTTTTTTTTTCTGGTGAGGCAATTGGGGTTAAGTGACTTGCCCAGAGTCACACAGCTCGTAAGTGTTATGTGTCTGAGGTCGAATTTGAACTCGGGTCCTCCTGACTCCAGGGCTGGTGCTCTATCCACTGCGCCACCTAGCTGCCCCAATAGGTGAACTTTTGCCATGTATTGCCTGGAGTCATGGAATTATCAGGACTTCATAGCACTTCCAGCCATTTCTAAACCATGTTGCCAGTCATGCATTTATCTCCTCCTTCTACCTCCCTTTTATGTGTTACCTTCCCACATCAGAGCATAAACTCCTTGAGAGCAGTGACTGTCATGCTTGCTTGTATTTAGATGCCCAGTGCCTGGTGCATAGGAAGCCCTTAACATTTTTTCATTAATTCACACTGTTTTCAGCTGATCAGATTTCAGACACCCACTCCTGTCTTCTGCCTTGTTGCTTCAATATCTTCAGCTATTTCTCTTTAGAAGGAGGTACTTTATTTTGATTAGGAACGCATTTTCTTTGTTGCAGCTGGAAATGGAAAAAGCTGAGAATGAAGCTGTGTGTAAAGGGCTACGCTCTCGAATCAGGGAACTCTGGCTCTGGTTACAAATATCTACCCAGGAGAGAGAAGCTCTGGCCATGTTCATGACTGGGTCAAAGGCCAAAATCAGAAAAGTGGTAAGAAAATATAATAGCCCAGACATGGGCAACCTTTCTATCTTGGTATGTCAAGGTTCTGATTCTTTTCATTAGTGTGCCAGACATGGTAGAAAGGATTGCTGGTTGCTGTCCAGCTTCTGACCTGTGAGACATTTTTTGTGCCATGGGAATTGGGATGCATTATCTTTGGTGTGTATACCATAGATTGTCAACTCCTATAACAGAAGTTACTATGTTTTTCCATCACTTTTGGCAAGGAGACCATATATCTGTCTCCATGACTTTCTGGGTTTTGGTTACTATCCTCTGAAAGTTGTGGAAGACTTAAGAAGCTAATGACCCTCTTTTATTTTTATTTTTTTTTGGCTAGGCAATGGGGTTAAGTGACTTGCCCAGGGTCACACAGCTAGTAAGTGTCAAGTCTCTGAGGCCAGATTTGAACTCAGGTCCTCCTGACTCCAAGGCTGGAGCTCTATCCACTGTGCCACCTAGCTGCCCCAATGACCCTCTTTTATATATTCATTCTTAGAAACCATCTTAGAACATACTTTTGAGTCATTTGATATCTTGAATTATGAGCTAACCTTTTATTGCCAGTACTCTTGCCTGGTAATTAGAGCCCTGAAAACTTGGTAGATGATTAGGTGAAATCAAACTCTAAACTGAGGCTTGACTAAACAGAAGAAGCTTGGCATAAACTAATGTTAAGACTGTTCTTGAGAAAAAAGAGAAGCACTTTTTGGACAGTTCTCCCCTTTGCAGCTACAGTTAGACATGGATCGGTTGGAAGATTTGAGGATTCAGAACTTGAAGAAAATGATTGAAGCAAGCAAGGTGGAGCTGGCACTATATTGGGAAAAATGCTTTTACAGCCAACAGCAGAAAGAAGCCTTTACCTATTACTATAACGGTTAGTATGGGCACTATATCAACACAGGCTTGTCTGCTTACTGCTGCATTTCTATAAGCCAGTTCTCCTGACAAGAAGAACATGCGTTTGAAAAGGAATTCATGTCAGATTATTTTTCTGGTTAGCAATGTAAATTGGTATTCTTGTACAGATGACAGTTTGTAAGGCTGTTGGAAGTGATCTGCAGTTTTTCTCATTTGAAGCATTTCCTCTAGAAATGATATGACAGAGTAGGAAACTTTTCCCTCGAATCTCTCAGTGTAGCTGGCCACCTGGGATGATACACCCAAGCATCTATGTTTGTCAAGTTTCTGATATCCTACTATGCTTAATCCTGAGGCAGGGGATGCAAAAGAAGTTTAGATAACTTGGGTCCTACCCTTAAGGAGCTTATATTTTCATTGGAGAGAGATGGCTAACATGTAAACATGATAAATACCAGGGAATAACCACAGACAGTAGAAGGTAGTATGTGATTATATAAAAAAAGTGATAGTACAATTACATGCTAGACAAACAGTAACTGAGATGAAATGGCAGGGGAAAACTGAAAGTAGGAGGTAGCGTTTGACCTGGGCTTTAAAGGATGGATAGTATTTCAATAGAAAGGGTAGAATAGATATAGTATGAATGAAAGCTTGGAGGTTAGAATGAACATAGCATTGTCTATTTAGGGGAGGAGTGGGAAAGGTAAGGCTGTGCCATTAGAGGGCTTAGAATGTGCATTCTTAATCTTTGTGTCATAGACCCTTTTGACAGTCTGAAGTCTATGGACCCTTAATCAAAATAATGTTTTTAACTGAATAGAATAAAACACAAAGGATTACAAAGGAAATCAATCATATTTAGTTCATATATATATACATGTATATATAGAGAGAGAGACAGAGAGAATATGTGTATGTATTTGTATATATATGTGTGTGTATATACATGTATATGTATATATAATTGTATAATATTATTTATTATATTAATATATACTAATAGTATATATTATATTTATGTATTTATATATGTGTATATATATGTGTGTGTATATATATATATATATATATATCTCAATAAGATTTTCTTGGCCCTAGAAGGATGAATAAAAGAATATAGACTTTATTCTGTGAGTGGAGAACCATCAAAAGCTTTTGAGTCATATGGTGATTGTTTTATTAAAGTTAGTTTAGAGAGAGATTGTCATGTGCCCTGTGTTAAGCATTGGGGTTACAAAGAAAGACAAAAAAGCAGTCTTTGCCCTCAAGGAGCTCACAACTAATGGAAGAAACAACATGCAAACAATTATGTACAAGCAATATCCAATGCGAATTGTAGGTAATCTGAGGGAATGCACTAGCATTAAGGGGAAAGGTTTCTTGCAGAAGGTGGGATTTTAGTTGATTCTTGAAGGCAACCAGGGAAACCAAGAGGCAGAGATGAAGAGGGAGAAAGAGCCAATAAAAATGCCTAGAGTGGAGAGAGGAGGGAGGGTCTTTTCTTAAAATTTTATGTATTTATTTTTAGTTTCCAACATTCACTTCCACAAGATTTTGAGTTCCAAATTTTCTCCCCATCTCATCCTTCCCCCCCATCCCAAGACAGCGTGCATTCTGAATAACCCTTCCCCTAATCTGCCCTCCCTTCTATCTCCCCCCTTCTATTTTCCTATAGGGCAGGATTGATTTCTATACCCCATTGCTTATGTATTTTATTTCCCAGTTATATGTAAAAACAATTTTTTAACATTTGTTTTTAAAACTTTGGGTTCCAAATTCTCTCCCTCCCTCCCTACCCACCCTCATTGAGAAGGCAAGCAACTTGATACAGGTTATACATGTGTAGTCATGCAAAACATTTCCATAGTAGTCATGTTGTGAAAAACTACATTTCCATTCATCCTATCCTACCTCCCATTTATTCTATTCTCTCTTTTGACCCTGTCCCTCCTCAAAAGTGTTTGCTTCTGCTTCCCCCTTCCCCCTTCCCCCTTATTTTCCTGAAAGGTAAAATAGATTTCTATACCAAATTGAACATGTATGTTATTCCCTCCTAAAGCAAATCCGATGAGATTAAGATTCACTCATTCTCTCTCACCTTCCTCCACTTTCCCTCCATTGTAAAAGCTTTTTCTTGTCTGTTTTATGTGAGATAATTTACCCCATTCTACCTGTCTCTTTCTCTTTCTCCCAGTATAATCCTCTCTCACCCCTTAATTTTATTTTTTAGATATCATCCCTTCATCTTCAACCCATTCTGTGCCCTCTGTATATGTGTGTGTGTGTGTTTTCCCTCCAATTACAGTAATACTAAGAAAGGTCTCGAGTTACAAATATTATCTTTCCATGTAAGAATGTAAACAGTTCAACTTTAATAAGTCCTTTATGATTTCTCTTTCCTGTTTACTTCTTCATGCTTCTCTTTAGTCTTGTATTTGAAAATCAAATTTTCTATGTCTTTTTCTGGTCTTTTCATCAAGAATGCTTGAAAGTCCTCTATTTCACTGAATGTCAATTTTTTCCCCTGAAGGATTATATTCAGTTTTGCTGAGTAGGTGATTCTTGGTTGTAATCCTAGTTCCTTAGACCTCTGGAATATCACATCCCAAGCCATCTGATTTCTTAATGTAGAAACTGCTAAATTTTGTCATCCTGATTATGTTTCTACAATACTTGAATTATTTCTTTCTGGCTGCTTGCACTATTTTCTCCTTGACTTGGGAACTCTGAAATTTGGCTATAATATTCCTAGGAGTTTTCCTTTCGGGATCTCTTTCAGGAGGTGATCAGTGGATTCTTTACATTTCTATTTTACCCTCTGGTTCTGGAATATCAGGGCAGTTTTCCTTGATAATTTCTTGAAAGATGATGTCTAGGCTCTTTTTTTGATCATGGCTTTTAGGTAGTCCAATAATTTTAAAATTATCTCTCCTGGATCCATTTTCCATGTCAGTTGTTTTTCCAATGAGATATTTTACATTCATTGTCTTCTATTTTTTTCATTCTTTTGGATTTGTTTTTACAGTGTCTTGATTTCTCATAAAGTCACTAGATTCCATTTGTTCCATTCTACTTTTTAAGGAAGTATTTTCTTCAGTAATCTTTTGGACTTCCTTTTCCGTTTGGCCAATTTTGCTTTTTAAGGCATTCTTCTCCTCATTGGCATTTTGGACCTCTTTTGCCATTTGGGTTAGTCTATTTTTAAGGTGTTATTTTCTTCAGTATTTTTTTAGGTCTCCTTTAGCAAGCTGTTGACTTATTTGTCATGATTTTCTTGCATAACTCTCATTTCTCTTCCCAGTTTTTCCTCTACTTCTCTTGCTTCTCAAAATCCTTTTTGAGCTCTTCCATGGCTTGGGACCTATTCATGTTTTTTTTCTTGGAGGCTTTGGATGTAGGAGCTTTGACTTTGTTGTCTTCTAATTGTATGTTTTGATCTTCTTTGTCACCAAAGTAAGATTCTATGGACTGAGTTTTTTTCTGCTGCCTGCTCATGTTCCCAGCCAATTACTTGAGTTTTAAACTCTTTGTTAACATAGGGGTCTGCTTCCAGTGTGGAGAATGCACTGTCCCAAGGTTCAGGGGTTTTGTGCAGCTGTTTTCAGAGATACTTCTAGGGACCTGTAATTTTTCAGTTCTTCCTAAATGGTATGATCAAAGGTGAAGTGTTTAATCATTTTCTGGCCTGTGCTCTGGTCTATGAGTGACCACAAACACTCTTCTCTGTCTTGGAACTATGAAGAGGATTCCCTCTCCACCACCGCCAAAAGCTCTACCACAACAACTGTCCTCTTCGCCCCAGGACCACCACCCAGAGCTGCAACTCAGATCCAAGCATGGGCAAAGCAAGAGAATCCTGCGTCAGCACCAGCAAAGAGATCCCTGCAATCCCCCTCTGATCAGCCACTCAATCCCGCCACCATCTGTGGGTCAAGAGCTCCAGAAGCAGCTTCCTCCAAAGGGGCTGTGCCAGGACTGGGGCCAGACCACTCTCCTCTCTCATCGAGGTCCAACAGATGTTTCCTATTGACCTTCTAAGTTGTCTTTGTTTGTTGTGAGTTGAGAAGTTTGGAAACTACTACAGTTGCCCTGTGATTCAGTCCCCTGAGGCCTGCTCCAGGTTCACTGAGGGCCTGTCTTTGACTGCCTGGCCCATACTGAACCGTGCTTCTTTCCCATCCTGGCACAACAGACCTTTCTTAACAACCATCCAGGTTGTCTTGGGCTGGAAATTTTTTTTACTCTCTTTTTGTGGGTTCTGCTGCTCTAGCATTTGTTTAGAGCCATTTTTTACAGGTATTAGGCAGGATTTGGGGGAGAGCTCAAACAAGTCACTGCTTTTACCCTGCCATCTTGGCTTTGCCTCCCAAGAGGGAGAGTCTTGTTTGAGGAACAACAAGGAAACCAGTGTCACTGGACCATAGACTACATGGAAGAGAATAAGGGATAAAACTGGAAAGGTGGGTAAGGGCCAGGTTCTGAAGGGTTTTCAAAGGCAAACAGGGGCTATTCTGTTTGATTCTGGAGGTAAAGGGAACCATTGATGTGGCTTTATTGAATCTCATTGAAGAGGAGGTAACAAAGAATTGCTCTTTATGAAGATCACTTAGACAGGTGAGTAAAGGATTGACTGGAGTGGGGAAGAGACTTGAGATAGGGAGTCCAGAAGGCTATTGCAATAGTCTAGGCGTGATGTGATGAGGGCCTAGGATATTGGCAGTGTTAGAGGAGAGAAAGGTGTGTACATGAACGATGTTGTGAAATTAGAATTGACAAGATTTGGCAGCATATGAGATATTGAGAGATGAGAGAGTGAGGAATCATGGTACTGGTAACTGGGAGGATGGTGAGTTTAGAAGAAGGGAAGGTTTGGGGGAAGATGGGGAAGAAAGATAATCAGTTCAGTTTTGGCCAAGCTGAGTTTAAGATATCTGTGTGACATCTAGTTCAAAATATCCAAAAGGCAGTTGGAAATATGAGACTGGAAGTTGAGAGAGGCTTTTAGAACTGGATAAACAGATTTGAGAATCATTGGCATAGAGATGATAAATGAATCTATGACAACTGATGAAATCACCAATCAAAAAAGTATAGAGGGAGAAGATTGCCAGGAATAGAGACTTTAGGGGATACCCACTGGTAGTGGTACAAACTGTATGAAGATCCAGCAAGAAGAACTGAACCAGTCAAACTGGTAGAAAGAGAATTAAGAAAGAGCAGTGTCATGAAAACCTAGAGAGAAAAGAATAGCTAGGAGAGGAGAGTGGGTTGACAGTGTCAAAGATTACAGAAAGGTCAAGAAAGATGATGATTGAGAAATGGCTATTAGATTTGTCAATTAAAAAATCATATGGTTGTAATGGAATACTATTGTGCTATAAGAAATGATGAGCAAGATGCTTTCAGAAAAACCTGGACTTATAGGAACTGATGCAAAGTGAAGTGGGCAGAACCAGGAGAACATTGTACATAGTAACAACAATATTGTATGATGATCAACTATGAATGACTTAGCCATTCTCAGCAACACAGTGATCCAAGACAATTCTAAAAAGAACTATGATGAAAAATGCTATCCACCTCCAGAGAAAAAAGCTGATGGAATCTCAATACAGATGGAAGCTTACTCTTTTTAAAAAACTTTCTTTCTTTTTCTTTTTTGTCTGTGCTTTCTTTTACAACATTACTAATATGGAAATATGTTTTGCGTGACTACACATGTATAACATTTATCAAATTGCTTGCTTTCTTAACAAGGGGGAAGGAAGGGGAGGGTGGAAGAGAATTTGGAACTCAAAGTTATAAAAAGTAAAGGTTAAATTTTGTTTTTACATATAATAGGGAAAATATTAAAAGTCAAATAAATAAAGTGATCATAGATAACTTTAGAGAGCATTGAATGATGAGGTCAAAAGTCAGACTGGAAAAAGCTAAGAGTAAGAGGAAAGGAAGTGAAGGTATGGATTGTAGACAGATTCCTTAAGGAGGTTAGCTACAAAAGAGAGGAGAGTTCTATAGGTTAACAGCCAGCAGAGATAGATGTATCAAGTGAGAGTTTAAGGGTGGAGGAGATATGAGCATGCTTTTAGACATCAGGGAAGCATATAGTAGACAGGGAGAAATGAAAGATGGGAGAGAAAGTAGGGATGAGAGAAGGGGCAATTTGCTGGAGAAGATGGGATGGAATAGATCAAGTGAGGCTATAATTACCCAGAGGCTGTGATCAGAGAACAGTGTAAGTGACTCATTATACTTGGAAATTTGGGGCATTTTGCTATATTGGAAACAGCAAAGACTAGCAAGACTTTAGAGGAATTTTAAAATTTGGCTTCTTTATTACCCTCACACAGAGGACTACACAGAGATCTTGCTAAAGCTCCATGGTGAAGAAATTGTGAAGTTGAAACAATATTATAAGCTGCACAAAGAACTATTTGAAGGCGTTCAGAAGTGGGAAAAGAACTGGAGGCTTTTCTTGGAATTTGAGGTACTTTTTGGAAGGAGGGAGAGAGGGAAAGGCAAGAAAAGAAGAGTATAATAAATTGTCCTGAACACAATTGCTTAAACCCCATTCCTTGGTGCAATGAGATTTCTGAAAGCTGGTTTTGCCTCCTAAGTCTCCTCATTACCACAAGCCATGTCGTGCTAACTTCTCATGAACCTACTTAAAGATCATTTCTGGTTGGGAATACTTTGGATTCCTTTTCTGGCAGCTTAGTTGTTAGTGCAGGGAAGGAATACCTTTGTGGCTCCTGAAGTGTACAGTTTTATGAAATGAAAGGACTCCAAGAACTAAATCTTCCTTCTGTGTTTGAATTTATTGCTTAAATAGTGGCTCTAATGAAAATATATTGTCTCAATTTACAGCAGCAAATGACTTTAGTAATAACCTTGTGTTTGACAAGTGTAAAGACTTAAGTTTTTGAGAGAAGAATTCATTATTTAGTAAAAAATTGTTGAAAAAGCTGGAAAGCAGTCTGGCAGAAATTGGGCATAGACCATTATCTTACACCATTTCCCAAAATAAGGTCAAAATGGATACATGATCTAGATAGAGAGATATTACAAGAAAATTTGAAGAACACGGAATATATTACCTATCAGGCTTATGGAAAGGTGAACAATTTATGAATAAATAAGCAATAGAGAGCAGTATGAGTTATAAAATGGATAATTTCAGTTACATTAAATTAAAAAGGTTTTGTACAAATAAAACAAATGTAGCCCAGATCAGAAGGAAATCAGAAAATTGGGGAAAAAAATTTTATACATAGTTTCTCAAATAAAGTCTCATGTCTCAAATATATACAGAACTTTGTCAAATCTATAAAAATACAAGATATTCCCCACTTGATAAATGGTCAAAGGATATGAACAGGCAGCTTTCCAATAAAGAAATTAAAGTAATGCATAGTCATATGAAAAAATGCTCTAAATCATGATTGATTAGAGAAATAAAAATTAAACAACCTTGAGATATCATTTTACACCTCCCAGATTGGCCAAAATAATTGAAGAGGGGGCAGCTAGGTGGCACAGTGGACAGAGCACCGACCCTGGATTCAGGAGGACCTGAGTTCAAATCCGGCCTCAGACACATAACACTTACTAGCTGTGTGACCCAGGGCAAGTCACTTAACCCCATTGCCTAAGCAAAAAAAAAAAATTGAAGAGGAAAGTGGCAAATGTTGGAGGAGATATGGAAAAATTAGGACACTAATTCATTGTTGGTGTAACTATGAACTGATCTAACCATTTTGGAGAGCAATTTGGAATTATACTCAAAGAGTTATTAAGCTGCCTATACCCTTTGACCCAGCAATACCATTACTAGGTCTATTTCCAAAGATAATTAGAGAAAAAGAAAAGGAACCTATATGTTCTAAAATATTTATAGCAGCTCTCTTTGTGGTGGCAAAGAGCTGGAAATTACAGGGATGCCTATCAATTGGGGAATGGCTGAATAATTTGTGGTTTATGATTGTGATGGAATACTATTGTGCTATAAGAAATGATGAGCTTGATGATCTTAGAAAAACATGGATAGACTTGCATGAAATAATGAAGCACAAAATGAGCAGAACCAAGAGAACATTGTACGTGTTAACGGCAATATTGTTTTGAGAACAACTTGGAGTAGCTAAGTTATTTTGACTCTAATAAATACCCAAATTAACTACACATGACCTATGAAGGGAGATGCTATCTGCATCCAGAAAAAGAACTGATAAATAGAAGTATGTATAGAATTATTTTACATATAAATACATATTTGTTTCTAACGGTAACCATCTCTAGGGCTGGGGGGAGGGGAGGGAAGAAAAAAAGAAAAAAGTTACATGATAGCTTTAATATATATTTTAAAGGAATAGGAAGTTGTACATTATAGATTTGCAGTCTCATGTGCAGTCATCTTTTTTCAATTCTACTATGTTACAGAAATGCTTGTTTTATTTCTTAAGTTCAGAATAAAATCAATTTTAAAAAATAAATAGAATATATTGTCTCCACAGAGAAAAGCTTCAGATCCAAGTCGATTTATGAACCGTGGTGGAAATCTCTTAAAAGAAGAAAAGCAACGAGCCAAGCTCCAAAAAATACTCCCTAAGGTAGACAATGCTTTTTGGAATGCTCCTCATGTTTTACATGCGAGGTCCTTCATTTCAAAATCTATCTTTGATAAAAGCAGAATTAGGAAAACAACACACACTGATTACAACATCAATAAAAAGAACAAAATTTTCAAGTTGGATGCTGCTTAATGACAATGACCAAACTTGACCTGGAAGAAGAGTTTAGAAAATGTCCCTTAATATCCCTTTTTTCTTTGTAGAGGTGGGGTTTTTAGGTGTGACTATAGTAATCTACTGTTTGATAAACCCAAAGACCCCAGCTTCTGGGATAAGAACTCATGATTTGACAAAAACTTCTGAGAAAACCAGAAAATAGTATGGCAGAGACTAGGCATAGACCAAAATCCTACAAACTATACCAGGATAAAGTCAGAATGGGTCCACAATTTACATATAAAGGCTGATACTATAAGCAAACTAGGAGAGCAAGAAATAGTTTACCTGTCAGATTTATGGAGAACGGAAAAATTCATGACCAAACAAGGGATAGAGAACGTTATGAAATGCAAAATGGATAATTTTGATTACATTAAATTGGAAAGTTTTTGCACAAACAAAGCCAATGCAACCAAAATTAGAAAGGAAGCAGAAAGCTGGAAAACAGTTTTTACAACCAGTGTCTCTGATAAAGGCCTCATTTCTAAAATATGTAGTGAACTGAGTCAAATTTATAAGAATACAAGTCATTCCCCAAATGATAAATGGTCAACAGATATGAACAGGCATTTTTCAGAGGAAGAAATGCTCTAAATCACTATTGATTAGATAAATGCAAAACAAAACAACTCTGAGGTACCATATCACACCTATTAGATTGAATAACATGGCAGAACAGGAACATTATAAATGCTGGAGAGGATGTGGGAAAACTAGAACACTAATGCATTGTTGGTGGAGTAGTAAAAAGATCCGACCATTCTGGAGAGCAATTTGGAACTATGTCCAAAGGGCTATAAAACTGTATACCTTTGACTCAGCAATACCACTTCTTGGTCTGTATCCCAAAGAGATCATACAAATGGGAAAAGGACCCACGTATACCAAAAATATTTATAGCAGCTCTTTCTGTGGTGGCCAGGAATTGGAAATTGAAGGGATGCTCATCTATTGGGGAATGGCTGAACAAGTTGTGGTATATGAATGTAATGGAATACTACTGTTCCATAAGAAATGATGAGCAGCTGGACTTCAGAAAACCCTGGAAAGACTTACATGAACTGATGCTGAGTGAAGTGAGCAGAACCAAGAAAACATACACAGTAACAGCCACATTATGTGATGACTAACTTTGATAGACTTACGTTTTCTTAGCAGTGCAAGAATCTAAGACATCTCCGAAAGACTCAAGATGGAAAATACTATGTACATCCAGAGAAAGAATTATGGAGTGTGAATGCAGATGGAAGCATATTATTTGCATTCTTTTATTTTTGTTTTGTTTTGTTTCTTCTTTCTCGTGGCTCCTCCAGTTGGTTCTAATTCTTCTTTACAACACTACTAATGTGAAAATATGTTTAATAGGAATGTATCTGTAGATCTTATATCAGATTACACACCATCTTGGGGAAGGAGTTAGGGCGGGAGGGGGAGAAAATTTAAAACTCAAAATCTTATTCTTATGGAAGTGAATGTTGAAAACTAAAAATAAATTCATAAATTAATTTTTTTAAAAAAGTTTTCTGCCCAAGAAACAAGTCCTTCTATACTAATTTCTCTGAACAGATACATAATAGCTCTCTCAAAGAGGCTATCCTTACTAGAGTTGTCCATTTGGTCACAAAGGACATTCTCAGGATTGAACTTCCTCAGGCATAAGGATTCTCATTAAGATCCAACCATTGAGACTTGGGTTTTGCTGAATGCCATAGCATCAGGTGCCATCAAAGCAAAGAAAAAAAATTTTAGAAGGAATGCCAGTGGCTTATTTCTCTGTCCTCCATCATGTGTTTTCTAAATAAGCTGGGGCTTTTTTTCCCTAATGATCAATTTTACACACATTCTCTGTCTTGCTCTCATGTTTTGCTTAGAGTTACAAACATATTGAAAAGCACAATTAGCCTCTGAATGGAAGAAGTCACCCTTTGAGAACAGCAAGATTAATAGGATGTTAGCAAGTTAATGATAATAAGATTTCTTTTTTTTAAATGACCTCAGCTGGAAGAGGAGTTGAAAGCACAAATTGAAATGTGGGAAAAAGAACATTCCAAGGCTTTTGTGGTGAATGGCCAGAAATTCATAGAATATATAATGGAACAGTGGGAGATGTTTCATTTGAAGAAAGACAAAGAAGAGCAGGAGCGAGTAAGTAAAAACAAAGAAAGAGAAAAGCTGTGAGCTCTTTGATCAGTATGTTTCTGCTAAGTTGGAAGGATGGTGAAAGCATATAGTCTATGTCCATCCCTTGCCTTCCATTTTGTGTGTGCTATAGACTAGCTTTGGGGCTCTGCCTTCATACCCTCATTTTGCTTTGATGTTGTGCTTATCACTGATGATTCTTATTCCTATAGCAACTAAAGAAGAACCAGCAAACAGGAGCAGAGATGTTATATAGCAGCAGATCCAAAATACTCTGCAAGAAGCAAGGACTGAGGCCTAATTCATCAGGCAAAGGCTACAAGGTAACAAAGCTTTACCTCGTTAAAAAGTCTGACTCCTGTTCAGAGAAATATTGTTTGGGAAAAGGTAGTAAGAATATCCAAAATGGCAGCTTGCTGGCTTGGAAAGTTTAATCCACGTTGGTTGAGTGAATGCCATAAAAACCCAGCAGCATTTACCTAATCGTTGCTTACCCTCTGTTGGGACTGGGAAAAGTCCTTGCCTGTGTGCTGATAATCTCATAGAACCTCTACCTTGCTAACCACCATGATTTCCCAGTGAATGCTCAGCCATCTATCTTATTTTAACTGCATTAAGCTTTTAGAGTATACTGAAGCAGGAATTTTCTAGGATTCTATTATCAACTTGGAAAGAAGGAAAGAAGAATTTATTAAGTGGCTATTATGTGCTAGGTACCATGCTAGGCACTTCTCACATATTATCTCATTTGATCCTTAACCTTGAGAGGGAAGGATTGTTATTATCCCCATTTTACAATTGAGGAAATTGAGTTTAAGTGACTTGCCCAGGGTCACACAGCTAATGTCTGAGGCTGGATTTGAACTTGGGTATTCCTGACTCCAGGCCCAGCTCTATGCCTCTCCAAATTAGAATCTAAATTCAAAACTGGAATAGGCATCAAGCTAGCATGATAAATGAAGGAGCGTAACTATATGACCTCTAGGGCTCCTTCCATCCATAAATCTTCTGAAACCTTGAAGTTCCATCTAACAAAGGGATGAACATTTTTTACATTGCTATCATTAGGCCTTTCACTATTTGACTGATAAGCAAAGGTTTGTCATCATGCCTGTTCTTTTGGTCAAGTTCAAGCCAGATACACCCATGAAACAGAATTCCCTGTTGCAGAGCTGCTACCATTCCTCACAGCTCTCATCCTGAGAAACCATGTTTCTTTCTAGTTATAATGGTTTAGTTAAATAGCTATTAGCTTCTTCCTCTGGTGATCTTTACCTTTTGCTTCCAACTTCTCTCATGCCATGTACTTCAGCCTAAGATTAGCTTGGCAGCAGGTCCCGACAGGACCCTCAGACTTATAGAATGATAAACATGTCTTGTCCTTGTGAGAGAAGCTTAAAGTGCCAGTGTTTCCACTCTTATTGCCTTCCTGGGTACTAGCTTTTCACTCACAAGTGCTTTCTAGACACGGGGAATTGTTTTTATACCTTCTTCTACAGCTCAGCATGTCCTAGGGCATAGCTATGTGCATCTGAGTTTTTTGTTACTGTACCAAGCAGTGTTTTTCCATGATTCTTGCTGGTGTAGGTAACTAAGATATGTTCTGTGGCATCATTCCCTCTGCATGCTCCTTAGAGACTGTGCTGAAAGGGTGGGCCAAGGAGGAAGACTTCACAGACCTGCCAGTTTTCTGGGCTCTTCTGGGAATGTGCTTCCCCCCCCACTTTCCTCATCTGTTTTTTATTTCTCTTCCAACAGTAAAAATCATCAGAGACTTCCAACTGTTACTTCTTCATACCTCCTGGACTTCACTACAAGTTTTTTTTTCTTAAACATTCATTCTGCTCATACTGGACAAGAAGAATATTCTCCTTGATCTAAAGGTCCCTTTGTAGGCCTAGGAATTTAACTGTAATGACTAATATTTATTCTATTTGTGTAATTTATATAAATATATATGCATATGTATTTAATGTGCTTTATCTTTAAATAAATAATTGAAAGCATAAATTTATGCATTAAGTATAAAATACTGTATTGTTCTCTGCCCTGTTCTGTTTCATTAAAATGAGATTAAATAATTTGTAGTATCTGCAAGAGAAGAAATGTCTTTGACCTTTTAGAGAACATTTTGACTAGAATGATTGGGGCAGAAGAAAGATTACTAGAGATACAGAAGACAGTGCATAGATGAGAGAAAGACGCAGTAGCTATGTTAAAGATTTGTTGTTCTTTACAACTGATTAATCACATGCTGTCTGCTAAAATTGGGGGGGAGGCGCGAATACAAAATTAATACAAGTACAAAATACAAAATACAAGTCTCTACTTTCCAGAAGCTCATAGAAAAGATTTAAAACTAGTATGAATGGAACAATTAAACAACTAATCTAAAAAAAAAAAACATTAATCTTGTCCTGGATGAATTAAAAGGAAAAGGATTTTTTTCATGCTTTGGTCAGGATAGATGTGATGGCAGTGGTAGCTAGATCACACATAAGCATAACATGGAAAGAACCACAGGAGCTTCGGCAGAAGCATGAATTCAAGAAAGATCAGTCAGGCCACTTGGGTTTGGTCCCTTCCAGTGGCCTATTCCCTGATAATTAACTCATGCATTGAACATATCAAAAATAGACAAGGAGGGAAGGGAGAAACTGTGCCACTTTTATATAACTTCCATCTATTAACTTTCTTATGTGAAAACTCCTTTACCTATAGGGTAAAACTCCTCATGAATCCCTCCAGTCCAGCTCCAGGTACCAGGACACTTTCCTTTTCTATAAACCAGCCTTTTCTCTTCTATAAACCAGGAGGATTTCACCCATTTTATTGTACTGTTGGAAGCCGGTGATGCTCACAGAGAAGGAGTAGTGTTGGAATCCCTTTTAGGGTGCTGGAGAATCCATAGGACTGGTGATGGTCCACTTGCCTCCCTCCACATTTAATTGGTCCCTGAGGGGGAAATACTACATGCAACAGTAGCCAAAAACTGCCCTGTGACAGTGGAGAAAGCTGGGCCACCTTCTCCCTTTTCTCAATTGCTACCTAATATAGTTGCCTTTCTAGCCAGGCACAGCTGCTTCTATATTTTTGCTCCTTGTGTAGCAACAAGCACTGTGTGTATTAAGCATGATGCAGAAAGTTAAGAACCAAGGGCTGAAGGGGCTCTAGGCCCCAACCCTGACAAAGGAAGTGAGCCCATCTTCTTCACTCCTCCTTGTTGGGTTTGATAAGCCCATATTCCACTGCCTTTGCAAGACAGCCAGTTTATGCCCTCGTGAATGGTCCAGCCTCACCCTGGGCAAGCAGGGACAGGATCTCCAACACTTCACTCTCCATTAGTTTCACTGTGATTTCCCTTGAAGCCTCCACTATGTTCAGCACCAACACAGACAGCACCAAGGTGCTGCAGCTCCAGCTTAGGACTCAAAAGCAGAGCTTGCTAATGTGTTGTCTAGGAAGAGAACATGCCAGGTTCTTCCAATACAGAAGTGGGATCACCCACCCAGAAGTGGGTTCTCCTCACTCATACAGCATAGTAGACCTATACCTATTCTGGGGATGGATGGCACTAACCTTGTTCTAATTATACCCGCTTGACAATTTGAAAACTTAAAAGATTGCTGCCTTACCCCAGTTAACAAGGAAGGAAAAGTACTGAAACAATGAGGAGTATTATTGACACAAATTAGGATGACATTCCCCACTTGGGTGATTCGAATACAAAATGGGGGCAGGCCACCCAATGCTGCCCAGTGGAGTAGCTCATCTTTTTCTCCACTGTACAGCACCAGTAACTTCAGTTGGTCATTGCCTTCAGCCAGAAACAAATCTTGCACCAATAATGGGAAAAGTCAGTGAAGAATAACCCATTCTTCCGAGAATAGCCTAGTGGAGTGAAAAAAGCTTGTCTTCTTAAAAAATCCTTGACTTTTATGTGCATTTTACATATTTGATGGAGTGGGAAGAGTACTGAAGTTGGAGTCAGAAAACATTAGAGAATTCAAACCTTGCCTAACAGCTACAATCTATGATCTTAGGCCGGTCGCTTCACCTGTTTCTTTATCTATAAAATCTATAAAAATAAGCCTGTAGTGCCTACCTCAGAGGTGTTTTTGGTACCAAAGAGATAAGGTATGGAAAAAGCCTTTTGCAAACCTTCAGCTATATAAATTTCAGCTCTTATCATGAGAATACACTCAAGAGTCTTTCTTCTTACTGCCCCCTAAGTATGGAATCTATGTTGGTACCCTGCCCCTCCCTCTCAGCTCCTTACCTCCTTGCTCATGGCCATGTTACACATGCACTTAGTGGCTGCCCAGTGGATCATTTCATGCTCCTCAAACATGTAGCCCTCAATCATTGGCACTACCTTCTCTTTCAGGATCTTCTGCCTGTGGGAGCAGAGGCCAGCAGTTTGAAGGTCCCACTACATATATCCATCTCTTGCCCTACTCAACTCAGGATTCCCAGGCCAGAGATTTTCCTCAGTGGTAGTGAAAACCTCCATTTTCCAACAGAGGCTCACCATCAGCCACTAAAGTCCAGAGAGCAGCTGTTCAATTTCCTGTTAGCTTTAGCTCATCAATCAAACAGAATTTAAGTAGGCTGGAGAGTAAGAATAAGAGCCAGTAAACCCTACTTGAAAGAGGAGGGAACTCACATTGGTGGCTATGAGTTCCAGAGACATAGGGACTTCATCTTACCTAAGCCTTTCACTGATCCCTGCCAGTTGCTTAAAGCCATGAGTGCTTCAAAGTTCTGACTAGAAATACTGGTTTTCAGTTGCACCTGTCTAGGAGGTCGGAACAGGGAATTCTTGTAGAAAATGTCTTTAGCCTGGCTCCATGTCCCATCAGTGATGATGATAGTGGAAAGATGATTAGGAGAATTTGATATCAATTCTTCCAAATTAATTGCTTCAGCACCAGGATACAAAATTAAAGTGCCAGGATTTTGGCAAATAGTTTAAAGTTCAGTATCTCTTTCCTCACTGAACTGTCAACCAATCTTGACCTTAACCTTGTCCTGGGGAAGACATGCAGCAAACAGAGATACTGTCCGTAATACTTTGTTTTCCTCTGCCCGGATGCTGAATTATATACTGGTTGGTAGAGATATTTAGAGGGGGTACTGGCAGAAATGGACATAAGCAGACCTTCTGTGGACAGCTACAGCAGCTGCACTCCGGCCTCCTCAAGGAGTGATCTACCCACAGCTCCTAGAGCCTGTCTGCGCAGTTGCCGCCATTCTTCGGGTCAGAGAAGGACAGTGCCGCTGCAGCTGACTCCACGGACCTCTCGCCCTCCCTTTGCTGTCTCCAGCAGTATGAGGGGCTCTGTTGCCCCGGCGCCAGACCCCACCAATGCAGCCTCCGCCTAGCCACCAACTGCCACTTCCATCTTTATAACATGCTCTGGCTGTCATACCACGCCACACAGGACTGGCACCTCCAAGTCTATTTCTTTTCGGTTAGTGTCCTTATGTGTGTTTATGTGTAAGATGGGGAACCTGGCAAAAGCCCAAATGCCTTCTGAGTGGAGAATGGCCAAACAGACCGTGGTCCTTTGGGAAGGTGGTGTGGGATGAAACCTTGGAACAAAGCAAAAACCTCAGAAGCCCTCAGAGGTCATCTAGACTAAACCCCTCAATTGTCTGAGGAGGACACCAAGGCCTTCCCAGGCAGGAGAAGAAGAGGAAAAAAAAACACCCTAGTGAAAGAACAAATTAAAAATTTCCAATTAAACACCAAATTGGAAAGACTGAAAATCAAAGGAGAGATTAATAAAACTGAAAGTAAGAAAACCATTGAACTAACAAATCAAATTAAGGGCTGGATTTATGAAAAAAACCCCAACAAAACATAAACTATTGGTTAATTTGATTTAAAAAAAAGAAAGAGAAAAACAAGATGACCAATCTGAAAATGAAAAGGATGAATTCACCACCAATGAAGATGAAAATAAAGTAATTATTAGGAACTATTTTCCCAGTTATATACTAATAAATTTAACAATCTTAGTTAAATGGATGAATATTTTTAAAAAATATATACATTGCTCAGATTATCAGAAGAGGAAATAGAATATTTAAATATCTATTTTATTTATTTATTTGGCTAGGCAATGGGGTTACGTGACTTGCCCAAGGTCACATCTAGTTAGTGTTATGTGTCTGAGGCAGGGTCCTCCTGATTCCAGGGCTGGTGCTCTATCCACTGTACCACCTATCTGCCCCCTAATATCCCTATTTAAAAAAAAAATTGAATAAGCCATCAGTGAGCTCCCTCAGAAGAATTCCCCAGGACCAGTTGGATTCACAAAAGAATTCTAACAAACAAAGAACAATTAATTTCAATACTATGTAAACTATTTGGGAAAAATAGGTAAAGAAGTAGTCCTATAGATTCATTTTATAATGCAAAACCCAGATGAACAAAGACAGAGTAGAAAGTGGGAAAAAGAGTGGAAAAAAGTCAGTGGAATAGATTACACACAATATGTAGTAGGAAAGAACATTTTAATCTTGTGTTTGATAAATGCAAAGATCCAAACTTTTACGACAAGAACTCACTATTTGACAAAAATTGCTGGGAAAACTGGAAAACAGGTTGGCAGAAAGAAGGTATAAACCAACACTGCACACCACAGAGTGAGATAAGATAAAATGGGTTCATGATTTAGACATAAAGGGTGATATCACAAGTCAGGTGAGCAAGGAAAATTTTATCTGTCAGATCTATGGACAATGGAAAAATTTGTGACCAAACAAGAGATAGAGAATATTTTGGGATGTAAGATTGATAATTTTGATTACATTAAATGTAAAAAGTTTTGCAAAAACAAAGCCAATGCAGCAAAGATTACAAGGACAGCACAGAATTAGTGGGTGGGGGAATTTACAGCAAGTTTCACTAGTAAAGGCCTCACTTCTCACATATGTAGAGAACTGAGTCAAATTTATAAGACTATGAGTCATTCCCTAATTGATAAGTGATCAAAGGATACAGTTTGGTTTTGTTTTTTTTTTTTTTGGCTAGGCAATGGGGTTAAGTGACTTGCCCAGGGTCACACAGCTAGTAAGTGTTATGTGTCTGAGTCCAGATTTGAACTTGGTTCCTCCTGAATCCAGGGCAGGTGCTCTATCCACTTCGCCACCTAGCTTCCCTCGTGATCAAAGGATATGAACGGGTAGTTTTTAGAAGAAGAAATCAAAGTTCTCTAAAGGCATATAAAAATGTTCTAAGTCACTATTGATTAGACAAATGCAAACTGAAAGAGCTATGAAGTACCACCTGTTAAAAATGATTTCTCTTTGGTAATCTGTTTCTTGGAGATTCAGAGCTCCACCCTGCCAGCCTTCTGCTTCAAAGTTCTTCAGAAGGACATCTCTGATAATGAGATTACATTGAATCTTCTTATCTTGGTCATACTCTAACCCAGGCTTGAATTGATTTTATCTACTCAGGTTTGGGTACAGACAGACTTCCAAGACTGGGAGTGGTATTTCCTTTGATGGTGGGGGATATTGGCCCCTAAGGACAGAGTGATCTAAGGAACACACACACCTCCTAGTATGTCCACCAATCACAGTTGATTAGCACCCCCTTGGGAACACTCACTCTTCCAAGGGCATGTAATGCTGTACCCCAAAATCCCAAACTGAGCCAATTCTGAACTGATCCCCTAGGGGGAGCCAAGTTTGGGACTAAACTATGCAATGCATGTCAAGTCACTTTGAGAATTTAAACTGTGGACACATGTTACCCAATTTCATTTGTCTCTTTCTTAGAACAGGCTCTGTTTCAAATTGGGTTCATGGGGTTTGGGGTTCATACACCTCATAGCTAAAAAAGAATGGCTAATATGACA